TCAGGGAACAGTCAAAGACTGTTCCAACTGATACGCAACACGGGAGGTCGGCGAACCACAGTCAGTGAAACGATCTGCGACAAAAATGGACAAGCTAGTCACAGTAGGGAACAACGACTTGACCGAAGGGCGGAATACTTCAACGCACAGTTCAGCTGGCCAGGTGCTAACCAGTCTATCTCGTCTGGTGTGGTTGAGGCTCCACGGGAAGCGTCATGTGAACCTCCTACTGCAGCAGAAGTTCAATCTTGCATCCAAGCCCTGAAGAAAGGAAAAGCAGCAGGACCTGGAGGCCTTCCTCCCACTTTTTTCAAGATGGGGAGCGGTGACCTCGTAGACTCCATTATTAATCTAATGCGTAACATCTGGTCACATGAGCGCGTTCCCTCATCTTGGAGCGAACCACTGATTGTTCCAATTTTTAAGAAGGGACCTCGTAACGACTGCACAAACCACCGTCAGTTCAGTTCAGTTTCTACAACCATTAACCATGCACTATCGTACGCACGACCCACCATGGAATAAGTCTGATCCCAATCATCACCAAGTTACTAGCCTCCATCACACTTCGACGTCTGACACCGGGAAACAAAAATCCGCAAACAACAAGCAGGATTTCGACTAGTTCGCGGTTGTATCGATCAAATCTTCACCCTGTGTCAAGTCCTGGAGCTACGCCATACCAACCGTCGGCCAACAGTTGTCTCTTACGGATTCGCTTCTTCGCAAAGGAATGCCGCAGAAGTATATGAATATACTGAGGTCACACTACTTGCATACTTCTGGTAGTGTAAGGGTCTACGGCGAGCTAAGTAGGTCATTCGTAACTAGCAGCGGTGTTCGTCAAGGGTGTCCTCTTTCGCCATTCCTGTTCGATTTCGTCATAGACAAAATACTGGATAAAACACTAGGTGGTCTCCAAAATGTAGGTATTGAATAGGCAGCTGGAGAAAAGCTGTGCGATTTGGAGTACGCTGACGACATCGTTTGCCTGTTCGAATCTATGGAGGATGCACCAAGAGCACTTGACAGATTAGCAAGTTCTGTTACTCCATTCGGCATGTGCTTTGCAACTTCAAAGTGCAAAGTGATGCTACAAGACTGGGTGTCGCCGAGTTCTGTTCTGAAACTAGGCGGTCAGGAACTAGCTGAAGTTGACTACTTCTCGCACTCAGTTAGCTGCGTGACAAACGACGGTAGCGCATTAAAGGAAATATCTGCTCGCCTTTCCAAGGCTCGAGCAGCGTACACAGGACTGAAACACCTGTGGTGGCGTCGTGGCGTTTCACTGGAGTATAAAAGTCGCGTATACTGCGCCACTTTATGATCAGTTCTGCTGTACGGTTGTAAGACCTTGAAGTTCCGGGTAGAAGACACCCGTCGTTTAGCGGTGTTCGAAAATCGATGCTGACTTAGTCTGGTCCAGGTTGGATGAAGTGAGTGGGTTAGTAACTTGGAAGTAATTAGTCGGGTGTTTAGGAATACATCAGAAAAGAACTCGTTACACACATCGAATATTTGTATCTAATGTTTGGTTAAATATTACCTACACACACGCATATATGTATGCGTGGCACCACGGCCGGTTTCACTTTCTGTTATAACAGTTTATTTTTGTATGGCGGTCAGGCAAACATGGGCTATCGATGTTTGAACACTACTGTTTGTGCCATATTTCACGAGTTTGATGGAATAACGGAAGACAGAATTCCGGGGTTATACAAAGACTATCATATCATGCATCGGCTGCACTAGGGTGCTTAGTCAACTAGTTCGTGTCAGGCTTTCAGATTGTTGACATCTTAACTAGCCTGTTCGATGGTTAGACACTCTTGGTCCAGCACGAATAGTCCTGATTAATCAACCGTTTGAACTATCCGAGGCACTTTGTTACGACAAACAAACGGAATAGGGGAGCGACTGGCAATGTCAGTTAGATTTTCATCGCAATTTCAGTCTTTCCCGTGGACAATAAGGAGAGTTTTTCTGTTCCTATGACTGTCAGAAATTTTCACAACCATCTGAGCACCATTTAGATACACCGCTTATAAATACCACAACACATACACGATATTTATTCCAGTCATTTATCTGATTACAATGGGCTGATATCTTTGGATCATTCTTTCCCACCTTCAATCGTCCTGGGTGTTAATTCTTCTCGGTCATTTTGTATTTTTCCTAAACATGAAAATGTTTCCCTTTAAATATCAAGTGTTCATAAATTATTAATTGTTTTATCCGTTTTGTCCTCTATAAGTGAGTCCTCGGTCCAAACCAAGAGATATTTTTGTTGTATTGTGACAGCTCTAACCACAGATCGTACTCGATGCACTGAAAATAAATTATCCCTCCTAAGGCTCTTGTGGTTTCATATCTGTTCTGTGGGACGTTCTCAATTAAACAGCAACGTTGTTTGTCAATTGTTTGGCATTTTCATATAACGTTCGTAGCTATAAGCATTTAGAGATATTAGGAATTTTTTTTCTTTCGCTTCCCGCAGTGTTTCTGAATTTCTGAAATCTAATTGGATATCCTCCATTGTTATCACCCTAAACGTAACTTTCATTTTTTCAATAGGAAAACTATCGTATCGCGTGGCGTACAACACAAAACCGGTTCTTGAAAAGACACCCTCAACCCCGATGCCCACAGATTCAGAGGTCAAAGAAACATGCGTTCCAGCTCGACCAATTGAAGGGACCGGGAGCAATCCATCGGATTCGAATCATACTGCATACAGTTCACTCTCCTCTTGGAATCTGTCTTCTTTCAATTCCGGATACACTACCGTAATGCCAGCATCCGAATGTAGACCATCGGTATCGGACTTGATGTACCAACACAGTAGTTCGCAACCGACTGAATCACGTTCTGCTGCGCCCTCTCTACTTGCCACCCCAGCTCATCCGAACGGTACCCTCAGTTCCTTTACCAATCCGTACGTTTCCTCACATGCAATGGCTCCATGCAATACCGTGAACTCATACCTCCCCGCCGGGTCACTAGATGCAAATGCGTTCGGTTACTATCAACTTTCTGCACGAGCAGCTTCGAACTCGGGTGCATCAGTAGCGCAACCTACAACCGTCACAAATGCACCACTCCAGTCCCATCCACTGTTTGGTACACGGTCTCCTTTCACCACTTCGGTGCTACTGGATCCACAATCTCCGTATCACTATCTGTCAACCAATATGGACTACAACTCCTCCATAGACCCAAACGGGAATCCTCATCACGGAAATTGTGCCCCTGCACCCTATAATTCGGTTATTTATCAACCAGCACAAGCAACGAGTTGTGCTCCGATCACAGTTGTTCCGTCCACAGGACAATCGAATCCCTGTGTGATCGGACCCGGTGGGGAGTGCGCAAATGCGTCTATCCCGTATCACGCTCCCATATATCCGGCCTCTTCCATGTTCCCGTTCACCTCGTGTGTTGGTTTTCCCTCTTTAGGCAATTCCTCGATGACTTGTGGTCCACAGACCGGTACCAGTGCAGACCTCCGTAATCCCACGGCCACTAATCAGACAGTTGCCCCATCTTCCAATACGGGATCACGTCCGGTGATCAATCCGGCCTATATCTCGTCCGATAAATTACCATTTCATGCTAGTTCCAGCACAGTAAATTCGACGCAGGGATTGAATTTCGGTTCGTTTGGGCTCAATCCAGCTGCACAACAACAGTTAGATGAACTAGTCGAACGTTTGACCTACGACAACAATGCTGCCGGTGGATGGATCAATCGTGCAGATACATCGTCGGGAAAAACTGCACTAAATGGAGGCGGGAGTAGTGTGGGAACTCGAACTGCCGCGCAGCTAGCACCAATGACTTATCGGACGCCCACAATGAGTACTCCATTGTCCTACCCTGCCGGTTTATCGGGGCGAATGATAGACAACGGGCTCACCTCTCCCTACTCAGCCTCAGTGCTATCCGCGTACTGGGCCACACAGGCTACATCCTCAGCCTGTGTTTCCAGTGCACCATTTCCCAATCCAGCGCTGGTCAATTCATTTCCATCGAGCGGTGTGGCTGGGAGATCGGATGATACGACAAACGTTTTGACCCTCTCGGGACAGATCACAAGCACTGAAAACGCCGCGGAAAACCCCGCGGATCGAGCCGATAACACCAACAGACTGTTACAACCCCCGTTCACTGCGCTCGGTCAGTGTGACCGAGTAAACGGAATTTTGCCTGAAATGATTAGTTCAACTGGTCGAGGCTCAGAAAAAGACGGATCAAACAATATATCCGTTGTTTCACTCGATCGCGGCGATCCCAACACGCGATATTCACTTCTGGGCTCAACTCCAAACACGTTTCAGTTAGATGGTTCAAAATCCCAATCAACAAATATCACATTTCCCAATTCTTTGTCAAATGTGACCCAAGGGGTTGGTGATGCAATCGGTTCTGTCAATCAAGTACTCTTGTCTAAACAAGCATCAGTGATACCCCAACTTGGCATTCTTGGACAGGCCCAAATAAGCACTGGGGAATATTCGGCAACCAGTCAATCAAAGGATATCAATAACACAATGATCGGGTCCGATTCTAGTGGAATTCGGACTTCGCAATTGCCCACATTTGATGTGGCTTTGAGTCCTGAGGATGCTGGGAGTAATTTTTCATTTGATGGACTTTTGGCTGAGTTGAGGCTGGAAGAGAAGCAACAGCAACAGCAGCAACAACAACAACAGCAGCAAGAACAACAACAAAAACAACAACAGACGCAACCCGCACAGTCTCGCTGTGATGATCCTGGAAATAACCTAAAGCAAAATACACGCATGCTACTGGAGAATTTCACCTACCTCTAGTGCTTATATTCACTTGATCGCAATGCACACACACAGAGCAGCCCAGAATAACAAGGAATTCTAACATCTCTCGAATACCCTGTGACATTTTACTTCATCCCCCCCCCCTCCTCCCCTATCCCCGTACACTTGAGATGAATCAAACATACGTGAATGTTCAAATGTGTGTCCATATGTGCAATAGGCACTTGCATTTCGGGTGTCCGTAACCCATCTGACGGGACAAACAATGCGCATTGTTTCCCGGATATTGTAAATCTTGGGCAGAAGTTTTGCATTTCCATTTTGCCTGCCTCCACATTGTGACCCCGATTATTGCATGCAATGCGGTCCAACGCAATGCAATGCAACAACACAGAAACAGAGGTTCGTTTTCTACTTTTGTGAACAATGTTGTTTTTGATACTATCCGATGTTTTGGACGCAACAGTACACAAACAGACAAAAGAATGAAAACTGATAGTATTGCAACTACTACTACTAGGTGTACCGCTTTCATTCTGGTTTGTCCAATTCCTCCAATCCAATAATCTGTTGCTGTCCGGAGGCATTTTTTACACAATGTTTGTCAAACCTGGAACTCGCTGTTCGTATTGCACAGCGTGATCTCTCGATTCCTCCCTCTCCCCCGCCCGCCCGCCCGCCCCACCTTCCACATTGTCATCATCCTCAGAGTCATTCATATCAGATCCATGATAGGTGCTCGTTACGCGAGACGACACATAGGCGTGCTCTCGTTCGCATGACTTCAAATCCGGTTACCTCATCGGACACTTGAGCAACCGACTGACCATCAAACCTCTCTCTCCCTATCCTTATTCTATTGCCCGTGAGCAAACTCCATACACACACAGCGATGCACCTGCAGACACACGCACATCCACATCGATCACGATGCGCAGTAAATGGAATTTTATTTGCACAAAAGATCAGCAGTCTTTTGTTTACAAATAAAAATGTGTGCAGTCCCACCGGTCTTCGCTGTTCTCTTTGTCCGTCGTGTTCCGTAGACCTAAATAACCAGAACTGAGCTCAGTCGTTACCTGAGCCCCACCCCCGTTCTTCATGTGACCCGACCTGAGGAAGTCAAGCCAGATTTGAAAAATAAAAACAGAATCTGTATGCACTCGAGTGCATTTTCAGCACGAATCAACAAATACGATGCACTGGTAAATTTGACATTTTAATAACTAAATAATCAAAAACGAGTGGAGATTGACCAGCTCCGCATAGGTGAGAAGACCAAATCGCTTCGGTTATCGATAATCGATGAAAGATTTGCATAAGTGCATTCAAGTTCGGGAATAGAACTACTCGTCTATAGTTGTGCTCGAGAAGAAGAACGAAGGTGTAATTGTGCTCCGCTACAACGAGAAACAATCTGTGGATACGAATTGAAGAAGCTCTTCGAGTAAACAGGGTTCAAGGTCAGACAAGGATTATTTTTCAAACCGATCCCTGGCATGAAATTGTTCGCTTACCATAAAATCAATAAGGCGGACACGAATCACCTTATTGGCTTTAAAGATTCAATATTTAAGGAATCTAAACCTGAATCGAGTCTGTAGCATTCATTTAGACCAGGAAATCTATAGTAGGGAGCCGTAGAACCGGTGAACCAAGACACGTACAAGGGCAAATCTAGGGTAGTAAAGAATGAGAAACATTAAACCCTCTGGATCCGAAACAGTAAAATCCAGTCTAAGAACTTTCGCATAGACACCGTATGGTGGAAAGATTGTTCGAAAAGAGCTATGCCGAATGATTTTGCGCTGGTGACTTTTCGAAATAGGGGGGGGGGAGGAGATATGACCGAAAACGGCAAGAAATGGTTAATTATTGTAAAGAGCAGGGCTAACTCAAGCCTAGTTGAAGCACTTTTATATTGCATTTAAACACATTTGCTTTTAGAGAGTGACAGTTATGGACCAGTTCGATATACTGATCAAATAATTTTCAAGTTTCGTAAAAACAGCAGTCATTACAACCAGGACTGTTCACCGTGTCATTATCAGCCTACTTGTAACCAGTGAACTCGCGATGCAAATCTCGTTCGCAGCTAGAGGGAGTGGATTTGAGACGAACAAGTTTTATTCATCTACAACTAATTACAAATTTTACAGTGCATTAATAAAAAAGAGAGCGGAGGGACAGAATGACACCTTTAAACAGACGAAAGTTTAATTGGAAGTGCGGAACTACGCTCAGAACCGCACAAAGTAAACCGTCTGTCTGAGAGGTGATCAAGCAGAATCTTCTCAACAGGTCAGAGTAGACACCATGGTCATGCCGAAGATGAGGAAGCACACTTTAGTATGCCAATGCTTAAGTAATGGAGTGTGTGATATATATACACTTTCAGTTAATGCAAACATTATATTCCGACGGTTTTAGTTGCCGTTTCTTTTTCTTGATAGCCTATTTGGATGATCGTAACCGGTGGTAACCTGGATACCCTCGGGGTTAAGCAGAGCTGAACACTACCCGGGGTTGTGGATAGGCGGATACCTTCACCGAAGAAGGGGTTAGCTGTGAGTAAGTTGT